GGGGGAAGGCGGTCGAAAAAAAAAAGAGAAAAGGGGAAAGGCGGCTTATAAAGGTGTGCGCCTATGGGTCGGGTTTAATCGGGTTTTCCTGACCTAGCCCCTTTTTGTGTTGGCAAGCACTTTTCTCGAAGCGATGTTCTGGATCCATTAAAAGAATGGTCTCCACATTTTTGACAAAGTTCTCTAAAAATGGTTTCAATTGCTGACCATTAACAGTAAAGATATTATCGTTCGATGGATTTTCTACTTCTACTGCTCCGTGTTCAAACACCTTTTTGACAATATAAGGCCTTGCTCATCTTGATCTCAACTTACCAGAAAAGAGGCGGAGTCTTGAATTAAACAACAAGACTTTCTGAAAAGGTTCAAAAGACTTCCGCATAATGTTCTTGCTATGAAAAATTTTCATCCTGATTTTAGCAATTTTAGCATTTTCATATGCTTCATTTTTCAATTCCTTCAATTCGTTAATTTACAGTTTTCTTGAAAGTCCAGCCTTATTTAGGTCAAAGTTCATTGCTTTCATGGCCCAATATGCCCTATGCTCCAATTCCACAGGTAGGTGACACAGCTTTCCATAGACTAATCGATGAGACATACCCAAAATTATTTTAAACGCAGTGCGATATGCCCAGAGTGCATCAGTTAGTCTTGACGACCAATCTTTGCGGTCTGGATTTACCATTTTTTTCAAAATTAATTTGATCTCCCAATTAGCTAATTCGGCCTGTCCACTAGTCTGTGGATGATAAGGGATTACAATTTTGTGAAAAATCAAATATTTTTTCATCAAATTCTGGAAAGGGCGATTGCAAAAATGAGTCCCCCATCACTTATGATTGATTTAGGAACCCCAAACTGGGACAAAATGTTTTCTTTAAGAAATTTGATCATCGTTTGATGATCATTATTTCGGCATGGAATTGCCTCAACCCATTTGAATACATAGTCTACGGCTACTAAAATGTATAGATAGCCAAAGGAAGGGGGAATGGTCCCATAAAATCAATGCCCCAATAGTTAAATATTTGAATCACAAGAATTGGGTTTAAGGGCATCATGTTCGTTTTTGAAATGCTTCCCAACCTTTGGCATCTATCACAATTTAAACAAAAAGCATGGACATCCTTGAAAAGTGTGGGCCAGTAAAATTCACATTACAAGATTTTTGCAGTGGTTTTTCTTGAGGAGAAGTGGCCACCACATGCTTCAGAATGACAAAATGTTATTACATGTTTGCTTTCTCGAGTGAGGATGCAACGTCTTATGATTTGATCCTTGCAGTACTTAAATACGTACAGATCTTCCCAAAAGAAGTTAAAAACCTCCCTCATAAATTTCTTTTTGTCTGTGGGGGAAAAGGACGGAGGGCGTGTTCCAGTAACAAGAAAATTAGCAATATCAACATACCATGGGGTCTCATCAATTATGAACAATTTTTCATCAGGGAATTTTTCATTGATTGGTAGTCCATCCTTGTGAAATGCATAAGTTAACTTGGACAGATAGTCTGCCACCACATTCTCAACACCTTTTTTATCCTTAATAACCAGGTCAAACTCTTGAAGCAAGAGTATCTATCTTAAGAGCCTAGGTTTGGCATCCTTCTTGGTAAGCAAGAATTTTAATGCTGCATGGTCAGTGAACACAGTAACAGAAGAACCAACAAGATAAGGGCAAAATTTTTCCAAAGAAAACACTACCGCAAGCAATTTTTTTCAGTCGTTGAATAATTCATTTGAGTATCATTCAAAGTTTTACTTGCTTAGTAAATGACATGTGGTTTCTTATATTTTCTTTGTCCTAAAGGGCGCCAAAAGTCTCTCATAAAGAGCTTGGTCTATTACAACTCAGAGAATTCCTCGATTGGAAATTCAAGCACCAGTTTAATCCTCGCCCTAGAGTTAGAAGACATAGGAGTTGACTTGCCTACATAAAAAGAAAGATAGGAAAATCCTATGAAGGATGCAAGACATGCCCACCTAAAAGAAAACAAAACTTACTAGAACTAGGGGTAGGGGTTCCCTAGATTCAAAAGGCCTGAATTCCCAACTAGAACCGGAGACAAAATAATTTGTCCTTCCATTCCTTTACATTGGAGGAAAAGCCTGTCAACAAAGGGGGACCCTTTCTTTTCAAAAACTAGAACCACTCCCAAATCTTGTCTTGAGCAGGGGTAAGTTTGTAGCAATGTAGTAGCTTAGTAAAGGATGGTTGCACACCAATACCATTGGCTTTGGCTGAGAGGACACCCATACCAACTAGATAGCCCCAACTATTATGGGTTAATTAGGTAGGAGCTAGGTTTAAGAGGTAAAGAGCCTCCCTAATATAGCAAGGGAGAGGAAAACAAAGCCCAGCCTCGAAGGTGGACTCATAAAAGCAAACTTCCTTAGGAGAGAAAGAATTTTTAGTTTCGTTAGCGGAAGGAACTCGTAACTGAACAGAACTGGGGAATAGATAATGAGCCCTAATTGTTCGAAAAAACTCTCGTTCAAGTAGCTAGAGATATTCTTGGCTCCGCTAATCCTTAAGGTGGAAGACCCAACCTCTTTAATGGAGTTGGAATCTTCCTCGTTCTCAACATCGATGATAGTTTCTAGGGTGAAAAATAAGTCTTTCTAGACCTCTAGGGAGTAGAACGCTCAAGACGTCTCAAGTTTGCTTAAGCCATCTCCCAGACCGCTCGGGCAGCTAGAGAGTGCCCTAGTGGGTTCTCCAGTTGAATCTCCCTAAGTGTTTAAAGGTCACTTTTGTGATTCAGCTTGGGCTACGAGAGTTGAGACTCTGACAAGACGAAGGTTCAAATCTCCTCATTTTCTTTGCTTTATCCTGCGTCCTGCAAAAGACCAAGAGAGAAGCTTCTTAACTTTTGCCTTTTTTTCCCTACCTTTTTACCCTTTTTCTCTAAGAAGAAGATGAAAATTTTGGTGACAATTTTGAAATTCGTTTTGGTGAACATGTTTGTTTGGACTTGATTTATTCGAAGTAGAGACCCTCGAGTCCCTTTAGGGAGCGCCATCTTTGGCGGGTATTTGTTGTTTTATCACTGACTTCTGGAAAAAATTTCAGGTGATTATTTGTTGGTATATGGGTGCTAATTTTCGGGGAAAACAGTATGAGGGTGTAGCTTAATTTTATTACTGGTGATCCCCAAATAAGGGCTCAAGTAGAAATTATGGCTCGACAATTACCAACGAACGGGCATTTATCTAGAAGTCGACAATTGGAAGGGCTCAAGTAGTTGACCTTCCAATGATAAAGTCAATAAAAGATTGCTATGAGAGAAAGAATTCATCTAGGAAAAAGGGTTACTTACCTTCGACGCAGCTCCATTCTCACCTTTATAAGCCCAAACTCTATTACCGTTGGAGTCTTGTAGCTGCTTTTCAAATTAGGCCGCAAGGAAACTAGAAATGGCTTCCCCAAGTACTTGGAGCTAGATTGAGCTAAAAAGAGGGGATATGGGTGAGCTACCTAGGGTTGAAGCTCAGTCTTTTGCCATGGACCCCACACCTCGTGTCTTGTTTTGTGACTAATAGGCACATGCTAGTCACTCGTTTGTCTTTAGCCAAATTTACCTCTATCAACTGTCCCTTAGCTCAGACTAGTACACCAACACATTGACTATATTCGTTCGTTAGAGGGAGTAATGGTGCTCGCTTGGTATACTCAATCGCTAAAGAGCTGTTGTCGGCCCAGTATATAAGGATATCCTAACTTCTTCTCTAAGGTGGAAGACCCAACCTCTTTAATGGAGTTGGTATCTTCCTCGTTCTCAACATCAGCTTGGGCTACGAGAGTTGAGACTTTCTCGGCAAAAGGGCGATCAAAATCAGAGGCCATGACTAGGAAGTTGTGATGGTGGATGTACAAATTTGCTCGAAAGGAACCATTAACTCTGCTAGCAACTAAAGCAAGGCAGAAAATCGAACACAAAGGCAAGATGAGCACGGATGGGTTTGTCCACAAAAAACCCTAGAGGTGCTAATCAAAGCTTTTCCACCTTGAGAAACAGAAAATGGTAAACATAGAATTGAAATATATGGCTCCAACCTATGCGATTCAGGGTAAAGAGTCATGTTGTTTTAAACAAGCTAGAAGAGATTACGGTAAGGAACCAAAGGCTCACCAAAATTCTAGAGGTTCCCAAAGATAATTAGAGAAGAAGTTGGGATATCCTTATATACTGGGCCGACAACAGCTCTTTAGCGATTGAGTATACCAAGCGAGCACCATTACTCCCTCCAACGGACGAATATAGTCAATGTGTTGGTGTACTCCCTACTAGTCTGAGCTAAGGGACAGTTGATAGAGGTAAATTTGGCTAAAGACAAACAAGTGACTAGCATGTGCCTATTAGTCACAAAACAAGACACGAGGTGTGGAGTACATGGCAAAAGACTGAGTTTCAACCCTAGGTAGCTCACCCATATCCCCTCTTTTTAGCTCAATCTAGCTCCAAGTACTTGGGGAAGCCATTTCTAGTTTCCTTGCGGCCTGAATTGAAAAGCAGCTACAAGACTCCGACGGTAATAGAGTTTGGGCTCATAAAGGTGAGAATGAAGCTGCGTCGAAGGTAAGTAACTCTTTTTCCTAAATATATTCTTTCTCTCATATCAATCTTTTATTGACTTTATCATTGGAAGGTCAATTACTTGAGCCCTTATTTGGGAATCACCAATAATAAAATTAAGCTACACCCTCGTACTGTTTCCCGAAAATTAGCACCCATATACCAACAAATAATCACTTAAATTTTTTTTCGGGAGTCGGCGATAAAACAACAAATACCCGCCAAAGATGGCGCTCCCTAAAGGGACTCGATCTCTACTATGAATAAATCAAGTCCAAACAAACATGTTCCCAAAACGAATTTCAAAATTGTCACCAAAATTTTCATCTTCTTCTCGGAGAAAAAGGGTAAAAAGGTAGGGAAAAAAAAGGCAAAAGTTAAGAAGCTTCTCTCTTGGTCTTTTGCAGGACGCAGGATCAAGCAAAGAAAATGAGGAGATTTGAACCTTCGTCTTGTCAGAACTTCGAAAGTTCGTGTGAAAATTGATTGAAAAACTGTCAAGAAATTTTAGGGTAAGAAGAAGATACAGTGCATTTTGGTTAGAATTGAGAAGAAAAATAGGGAGGCTAGATATTTTGGTATTTGGGGGTTAGGTTGTGTTCTAATTCAGGAAGCTAAGATGTGGCCTCCAACGAGAAACAATGGAGAAAGGACGCCAATGACGAATAAATTGATAGCAGTGGCAATAGACAAGGATAAACCAAGCCAAGGTGCTTTGAAATGGGCCGTTGATAATCTTCTCAGCAGGGGACAGACTGTTGTTTTGATTCATGTCAAGGTTAAACTATCCGCTTCATCATTCCCTTCATCGCCATCTCTCGCTATACAAAGTAAATCTCTCTCTCTCCTCTCACACACACACACACACACACAAATACACAATGCTTAATATGACGAAACGATGACCTATTATTCCTTTTTCTATAGTCACGAAAATCTGTTCTGTGGTGGTGAAGAACTCTACCTGTATATAAAATAACTATATACAGTGGTGCAAAAAGGTGGTGTTCATAGCATTATTGAAATAACTATATTATGGTATATCACAGGGAAGCATCTTATGCCAGAATTCTGTCTCCTCATCTTTCTGTTGAACCATGGTGATCATACTTGTACATATGACTCATGAATGGATGCAATGGTCGGCGATTATTTTACCATGCATGAGAAAAAAGATTATAGAGAGAAGTATAGATGGTTTGAATTTGAACACCAACACAACTCTCAGTAATGTTTTGTATGCAATCGCCTAAAATGGTTTTGCGGATAGATAAAGTAGGACTCTATTGGGTATATGAGAAGGTCTAGCAAATCTCAATTTTTGGCAAACTTTAAGTAGAGTCCAGATTAAGGAAAGACCAACAATCTAAACATATCAAACTTGAGAATTTAGGGGTATATGACCTGTGGTCTTATTCAAATGCCTCTCGAGGATAAGTTAAGAACTAAGACTCGAGGATGTAAGTTGTTAAGATGTGTAAATAATGGTAATGACTATAAATTTTTTCATTCGGGTTTGGGATTGATTGAAAGTAGGGATGCTATTTTTATTGAATGTACCAATCTGAAAACTCTGATTGATTAGGTAAATTATTAGGTTGTGTACATAATAGTATACTAATTGTCATTGGAGACAACATTGACACCAAATGACAAATAGCCAAGCAGGCTGAGAATAGTGGGAGGAAAGAAAACAGAGTACCATCATAAAAATAATAGGACATGATACAAATCAATGGTTGTAAGCTATGAGAGATGAGCTTGATTAGATTAAAGATGTTTGAGACTTAGTTGATCTTCCTAAACAAAAAAAAGTCATTGTTTACTAGTGGTCATTTTGAAAAGGTTGAAAGCGAATGAAACTCTAGAAAACTACATTGATGATTGAGGGGTTTACTCAAAATCTCGAGATAGACTTCGTGGACATATTTTCTTGTGGCCAACTCTATTTCTATCATGATAGTCATGTTGGTAGTAACTAAACTTTATCATGCGCTACTTATGTTAGATGTTTAAAGGGCCTCCCTTAATGGAGAACTAAAGTAAGACATCCATATGGAATATTATGGTGGCTTTTAGGTTGGAGGACATGAGTACAAAGTCTATAAATTGAAAATATATCAATATGAACTCAAACGATGATTTAGGCAATGATATTTAAAATCCACCTAAGAATCCATGAAATAGGATTGGTAAGTGGATATAAGTCTAATCCAGGTTGGGCATATTGGCGAACAATAAAGAGAGCAGTCAGATACTTGAAGGTATGCAATTATGCTTTGAATTAAATGATCTAGAATTGTTGGCCACATTGAGATGCTAGTTTTGCAAATGATGTAAATGGTTGGATGTCTATAAATAGTCTTATCTTATATGGTGGAATGGTTGTTTTCTTGGTTAACCAAGAAAGTAGAGCTGTGTGGTAAATGACGCAATGGAGGCCAAATGCATAGCATATGGAACAACGGTAAGTAATGTTTTTTTGATTAAACACTTTATTTAAAGTATGGTATAATTAGGAGGCTAGTCAATGTGTTTTGTAATGATAAGTCTGCCATCTTTTAAACACATTGACATAAGTTATCACTATGTATATGATATAGTAGAGAGTGGTGAAATGAAAATCGTCTATTTCCCCCTCTCGAGATGCTGGCCGACTCTATGGCCAAGGGGTGTCTCTAGAGGAATTCAGGTGTAATTGCAATGGTGTTATGGATCACCTAGATGTTGTAGTTTTACACGGTTAACGTCATTTTTGGAGAAATTTTAGGGACACTTGGAATTTATGGAAAGATGGAAGGGGAAAAGAATTGGTCGAATAAAAGGTAAATGACACCAACAGACATATTAGGGCTATCGCATGCTCATAAGTGCAAAGTCCACTTTTGACGCACCACGAGATCTTTGCATAGTCACCTAGGTGCATGGTATATTAAGTCGTCGCTAAAGTGTATCATGGAAAACCTCTGTATAGGCCAAAGAGGAAGTACTTGATCGAAATTTTGGGCGCAGTCCAACACATTGGTTAAATTTGTGTTTGACTGAAGTCGTCAATAGCATTGAGGGTGTGGACCTTATGATCCCTAGCACAGAGCATTAATGTCGATCACTTGGTTATAGAGTGAATCGAAGTCACCTGGAGGAAGTTGTCAGTAAGGATAACATGTGGAAGGGTGTGCTCATACTCGATAGCAAAAACATGTGCATGTAGGTCCATCACCATGATCAGTTAACAATTTGTGTGTGATCACATATAAGAGTTGGCGTGGACAAATATTTGGTACCGAAGATAAACACCAACTAGGAAACTCGGCCAATATGTTTAAGTGTGCTCAAATGGGAGATGTTGACCCATGGATTGGGTGATCACGCTTGTACATATGACTTATGAATGGATAAAATGGTTGGCAGTTATTTTCCCATGCATGAGGAGAAAGATCATAGAGAGAAAAGTATATATGATTTGCATTTGAACACCAACACAACTCTTGGAATAGTTGTTATTGTGCCAACAATTACAATCTTTCCATAGGGTGTCTATTCATTTGAATGGGTGCCTTGGGTCTATAAATATAGTAAACGAGGGCCCCTAACGACGTTCTGTTGATTTCTCTCGTGTTTGCATCACGTGGTCTTCTCTCTCAGGATTATATGTGATCCTCAGTCTAATGATTAGATCACCATGAACATTGTCTCACCTATCTGGGACCAACACTTTCCACTTTGGTTTCTTTTTTATTCTTCACATTCCTCGCTTAATAGACAGACTAAAACATACCTGGGATGGAGGGTGTGCCAAGAGGGAGGAAGGCACGGGATGGGATGTTAGAGTAGGTTGGCTAATATTACTTGATGCCTAAGACTAAAAAATGAAATGGGCCATAAAGTTTATCTATTTATTTTTTTTTGGTTTTGCGGATTGAATTGATTTGTTTCTTTTTTTGCTATTTTGTAATTTTGTATATTCAAATTCATACTTTTAGAAATTATATTTAAGGCGAACAAGCTTTAGATGTATAGAAAATCTCCAAATGAATTTTTATCTTGTTTTAAAAAATTAGTCATGTGATTAAGTAAGGCCAAAGCAAATGGGACCCTAGGTGAGTGGGGGAACCTAGGGATAAAAATCAATAAAAAATGGGGACTCCCCTCTTTTTGAAAGTAATATCAAGCTCATGGTGATTCTTGAAACTAATTATCAATTACCGCGTCTACTTTTAAAATTTGCACCTGATTTTTATTTGGATTCTACACTGTCAATTGAAATGATCAAGTCCCTAAACGTGAAAATGCATTTTAATTAATTCTCACGAACCAAATTCATTAGCATCATAACAGGAAAATAACAAATTCAATAGCATCATAATTAGAAAATATCGCATGAACAATTTTGATCAAAGAAATATGTATGAGTGAAATTTGTACAACATAAGGCAGCATATGTTGTTAAAGGGCTGAAATGTGCTACAAATGAGTCAAAAAATGCAATTAGAAAACATAAACTATGGCACTACGGGTAATTTGGCAAAAACCAACCCCCAATTGGGGCACGTGGTGCACGTGGTGCTCGCATGATGCTTTTTCCTTTATAATTACTGATGGATTTGGATACTGCGACTTTGTTGAAATATGACTTGCAACTTAGGGACTTGATTGCGATTATATAGAAATTTTTGTGTTAGTGTGAAGGGTATAAAATGTGGCCGATGACTGAGATTTCTGCTCAGTGCAGTCACCTCGGGGGTTCTTTGCACCTGTATAGTACCAGGACCCTTGTGCCCCAACCCTTGATCAGAGAAAGCTGCCTGCCCTATGACCCACAACTCAAACTGAGCCTTGTGTTAGTTTTATCTAAAAAACTTTGCTTGTAAATCGGTGATTGAATTAGCTTAACATCTGTAAAAGAACAAAAAAATGACACCCTGCTTTATTTTCATTAATGGGGTCTAGGAGTGTAGATTGTGTATTGACCTGTCACAGTCTTGTTTTTCATAAACGGCGTGATTTATACAAAACCTGCACATTAACATTTAAAATCTGTACTGGTTTCAGATCAAAGAAAATCTTTGTAAACATTATCATTTTTAGTTTAAAAGAGAATGTCACCTATTCAAAAATTACCGGTGCAGATATCATTTAAAATAAATCAAAGGCAATGAACATGATGGTAAGAGCACAACCTGTGAGATCCTACATCTAACAATCATTCCCTAAAGTCATAATTCAGACATCACGTTCATACATCAATTTATAAAGTACTAACTCTCACAAGACCATCGTTCTCTGTTTTAAGTTTACAAACCCTGGATCTAAATAAAAGTACATTGGAAGAAAAAGATTAATGTTTACTACATAACTCTCTCATCTCACATAGCATTCTAATATGAAAAAAAAAAAGAGAAAATCAAGCTTCAAGCTGATAATCCTCATTGGCATCCCCGACATCCCAATCAGTCTTTGAAAAATGTTAAGTAGGAGTGAGCTAACAAACCCAGTAGGATAATATTTCTAAAACACTATCAAGGTTTTGGAAAAAATATATGTATAACATTTCATAGGCTAAACATACCATATTTGTACTACATAATCATATAATGGAAAACCATCTGCAATAGAAAGCAAGATATGCATGTTAGATTTTATGACACAATAAAGATGCAATGACAATAAATATTAAATCTGAAGGCCTTGGAATGCAATAAGTATCAATTATAACCAAGCAAATCATAATCAGTCCACTCGTAGACTAAACAAATCCACAGGGGAGCTTTGTGGCCTTGCACCATAGGGACACTATGCCCCCTTTTTTTTTTCTGGGAAAACTAGTATC